ACCTTACGATAGTTTGAAAATCCATGTTCAACTCTAATTATGAAACTTAAAATTCCAAAAACAATGAATATCAAGTAGATCAACTTAAAATTTCAAAAATGGTGCATATCAAGTAGATCTATAATCACTTGAAAATCTTGAAAATAGACAATCCCGATAACTTATTGCAAGATAAACTACTTTTAGGACTCAAAATTCCTTTTTACTTTATACCCCAATATTTTGAGGTTTAAATGATCAATTGGAATGTTTTACAACTTCGAAACACTCTTTTCTACTGGATTTTTGAGGTGCACCTTACTTCTATAGTATAAGGTTGCAACCTTATATAAGCTTTTTCCTTATATGTAATATACAAAAGTATATTATTTATATTTATATAATATATAAAAATTTTATGATAAAGTACCTCGATATTTAATTTGGGGGGTGTTGGAAAAGAAAGGAGTCTTCAAATGCTATATTGACTTGGTGAGATATATGTACAAGGGAGTGCTAACTAGTGTGCGAACAACTAATAGAGAGATGAGTGAGTTTTCAGTAACAATAGGTCAACATCAAGGGTAAGTGTTGAGCCCATATCTCTTTGTCTTAGTTAGGGATGACCTAACCAGGCACCTACAAGATGAAGTACCATGGTGTATGTTGTTCGTGGACGACATAGTTTTGATCGATGAGACCCGAAGCGGCGTCAACACAAAGTGAGAATTTTGAAGGGATGTTTTAAAATCAAAAGGTTTTAAAACTAACCGGACCAAGACAAAGTACATGGAATGCAAGTTTAGTAATAATAAGAGTAGAGACGAGGAAATAGTTAAGATTGATGCCAAGAAATACCAAAAAAGAACGCATTTTCGATATCTTAGGTCAATAATCAATGAAAATAGAGAGATTGAGGAAGATCTCACACATAGAATTAGAGCGGGGTGAGCGAAGTGGAGATGTATAACCGAAGTTTTATGTGCTCACCGCATACCACTAAAGCTGAAGGAGAAGTTCTATAGGACAATTGTGAGACCAGCTTTGTTTTATGCAACGGAATGTTGGGCGGTCAAGAAACAACATACCCATAAGATAAGTGTAGATAAGATGCGGATGTTGACATGAATGAGCGGTAAGATAAGAACGGATAGAATTCAAAATAAATACCTTCAAGAAAATTTAGGTGTAGCTTCAATATGTAATAAGATAAGAGAAACTAGACTTAGATGGGCCCGCCATGTGCAGCATAGACCCCGTACAGCTCCTATTAGGAGGTGCAATTTGGTTCAACTAGAAGGCCAAAAAGGGCAAAGGATAGGCCCAAACATGCATAGTTAGAAATAGTGAAAAAACATATGGGGACTTATAGCCTCACTGAGGGTATGGCTCTAGATAGAGCAGAATTGCGAACCAAGATTCATGTAGCCAACCCCAAATGGGAAAAGACTTTGATGATGATTTATATAAGATATCACAAAGATGTACTTTAAATATAAATATGAATAATCAGGCCTGGCTATGGTTGGCTGAAAAATTATTCAATTCGCCCCGGCCTATTGGCCGCCCTACATTGACTTGCAAGTTTCCATTGTTTGGTGGCAGGATCATTATGGACAAGTCCACCCTTTCCAATATCCAAGTGTTCCAGATGTCTTTATTTAGGATGTTAGCTGTCATAGCCAACTTGGAATGCATCATTAGGGACTTCCTCTAGCTCAAGGCTAGAGGAGCACCTTAATTCCATCTGGTAAGATGGCACATAGTCTGCAAACCTAAAAGAGCCAAGGGTTAGGCATTAGAAACCTTAATGACTGCAATACACACTCCTTGGAAGGTGGTGGTGGCACTTGGAGGCCTAAAAAAGCCACGCTCCCCAAGTTTTGGAAGGATATTGGCTTTGTGACTACTTGCTGAATAATGCCTTCCCAAGCTCGTTCCTTTAAGTCCCAGATCAGAACTTGGCCATCTCTTACTATCAAGTGATTGGGGATCAAACAATGTGGAACCCACTTTTCCGGAGGGACCTCCATGATTGCAAGACATCCAATGTAATTGCTTTGCCATAAAACCTCAGTAAAACAATCTTATTCCTCCCCAGGAAAGGGACAAAAATGGTGAGGATCCCTCTTACCTTCGAGTAGGTTCTCGGTATCCTCTTTTTATAATGCCCTCAACCCCAATCAAGTACAGGCCACTCACAGCCATGAGGGCCTGGTTCACTCCAGCCCCGCCTAGATTTTAGGCTTTCAACTAGTTAGTCATAGCCCAAAAGGCACTCACACTCACCCAAATAAAAAAAAGAGGCATGCCATTACCAAACTAGTGTGCCATGTGCAAAAACAAGGAGACCATCAATCACCTTTTTGATATAGTCTTTCATACTCGATCTATTTGGTAGGGAATCAGTGACCCCAAGTACAATCTTTTATCCTCTTCTTCGTATCCTCACACCCCCCTCCACTCTGACCTATTACTGTGGCAAGCTCCGGTTCCAGCTTCTCTCTAGCAAAACTGGCTAGAATGCAATAGACAAGTCTTTGAGGGAAAAATGACCCCCATCAATTCACCCAAAGACAGAATCAAATCGATTGTCACCTTCTGAACTCAGCAATAGAAAGAATCAAAGTTTATACATAGGATGATTTTGGCCAGCAATGGAAAAATATTATATAGCCAATCGGGACCGCATCAAGCTGTATTGCCACATCAAACCCTACTGCATCCTGCATTTTAGAACACTAGCCAAGACCAATGAAAATTTCTAAGAACCACAATGGGTCCTACCTGATCCAGGGGTTACCAAATTAATCTTCCCTCAATAACAATGAACCAGCACACATTGGGGGCATCTTCAGAAATAATTCAGCTGAAACATTGATTCAGGGCTCATAGGCTTGGTGGATGCCACTCCTACTTAAGCTCAGGTTCTGCTGTTTGGCCTATAACTTTTCAACAAGAGATGGAACATGCCAGTGTTGAATGAAGAGGACGATGACAATATTAAAAACTGAGCATATAAGACCTCCCCCTGCCTTGAAGATTGGAACCAATCTTGAACCAGATTTCTGATATTTACCAATCAACTCAAGTATCTTTCAGATACTCGTGGTGAGAGGTAAATGCTTCCACAGAATACTTTGCAAAGATGACACAGGAACCCCTCTTAAGAGGCATCTTTTTATTCAAGTACGTATATATCAGATATAGAGGTATATTTACACAGCTTTTGCTTTCCCAGTATTCCAGGGTAATGTGAAACCTTTAACTTGGTATAGAAAAACTCTTATTGGCCTAGAAGGGAAACAGAAAACACGACCATCTTCAAAGAATGAAAAGATGGGATTAGTCAAGGCTCTAACTGCAACAATTGCTGTCCTTGTTTATGTGAATCCAAACTCATAAGTAACTCATTCCTTCACTCAGTTGTGCTGATAGACTTCAGGACACCAGGATTTGACTATTGAATGCTTAGATCTTTGAAAATGGAGTCAAGTGCACCATAAAGACTGCTGAATTCCTAGTTCGCTAACAACAGATGGTGGTCTCCATGATTACAATTGCTCCCAATATATATCAAATATTAGCAAACACACATAACGTATTGAGGTAACTGCCAACAAATTTTCAAAAAAATTTACTCATATTTTCCATTAATCCAACTGAATACAGTGATAGTTCCCTCTACACAAACTGGTAGCCCAAACATGCAAATAGATATGCCATTTGGCTTCTTTTATCTAGGGCTGACTAGAAAACCCAAATGCTGCTTTCAGTTTCCTTATTTTATCAAGAAATGCTATTATCAGTACTCGAGCTACCAAATAGATCCGCAAGAAACCAAGGGTACAAGCAACTCTTTAATTCTACAACCCAGAGCCTCAGACCCAGGAACTCAGCAAAAGCAAAGGAATGCTAACTTGGCCTGGAAATATGGCAGTTGGCAGAACGTTACAATTTGCTTCTTTATCCTTCTCATAGGAATAAGTTACCCTATACTACCACATCAAAAGCACCAAGGAACTCTCCAAAGTTATAATCCATGACCCTTTGGTTGTAGAGAGGAATAAAGACTATCTCATGAGGGAACCCCGCACAAAAATTTTCCCTAAAAGGATAGCAAATGAATCTAGCACCTCAAAACACCAAACTGCAATCTCCTAATGATTACCCCCACAGCAAAGATTGAAAGAACAATTTTCGAACCATATGGGCCCTAATCATCCTTCTCACAATAAAAAACAAACTAGATCCATTTCTACCCTCAGAACACCAGTTAGCCCATGAAACTAGATTATGCATGCTACCACTGCCCATGAGTTGCATGTCTCATACAAGAAATGAGTCATATTTGAAGCCATACTCAAGGAATGGCATCAGAATCCTAGTGTACGATAACGCAGAAAGATCAGATTTCTAGTTACATAATTTGGATTTGCACCAGTGCAGAATGAATCAACCATCTATCATCAAGCTGAATGGATTATAGAGGTAGCTACGAGATCATAGTGCAAAACCAGTGCAATTAAACCTAATGATAACACAGTTTATCGACTTGAACGCATTTTGGAACAGGTAACCAACCCATCAATAAGCCCCCACTCTTATTTCAATCTGCGGAGAGAAAGGCCTTCACAAAATTAGATTAAAGGAACCCAAATTCAACAGAAATAATCATCTTCTCAGCTTCAATAGCAATCAAGATATGCAACCTCCATTTTTTTTTTCTTTTAATCCTTCTATAGAAATATAAATCAGAACTCTAGTTTCCTTCTAATGTTGCTCCCAAGATTTTCCTTTTAACTTTATAAATGCCATCTATTTCATTATGCTTTACAGAAGAAACACAAACCCAAAAATCTACGCATCAATAGAAGGCATTTCTCAGGCAAAGTCAATCCATTCCAAAAGAAAATACAAATGAAAGAGAAAAAACCACGATAGATTAACAATCAAATAAAGCAATGGAAAACCCAAAAAACAAATGAGCAGAGAGAGAGGGATGGGCGCTTGCGGCTCACCACTTTCTCACGAGGCCCTGGTTCAATATGGAAGCCACGTGTAACGCCAGACGGATCCCTTATTCCCTGAGGAAAAAAAAAACACAAAATCGTAATGAAGAGACAGAGAGAGAGAAGCCAAATGCGTAAGAGTGAAGGGAGGAGAAAACTGAGAACCCAAAAGTGAATGAGAGAGAACAATCGCTCAGCGACTTTTGCGGTTCTCGTGTCTACATATTTTTAGAGAGAGAAAAAACCTGGGGATTGAAGGAGGAGAGGATTCTGCTCGTGAATTGGGACATGGCCATCATTTTGATTAAAGACGAGATGGAAGGAGATGAAAATCGGAGTTATGTTTCAAGAGAGAAAGAGTCCCGCTGCAAACACAAATCATACAAGCACTCTACTGGAAGTTTGCAGCTGAGAGAGAGGTGCGATTGCAGCTCAAATCAAAATAAAAATAAAGCAAAATAAAGGAAGAGCGTGAATAGCTGCCTCCTCGGATCAGACTGTGCATTTAATCCATCGGCCGAAAGAGTTCGTGCTCCACAGCGATTATTGACTTTGAATTTAAGATCCACCTTTAGAATAGACTGTGCGGACTGCGGAGTATTTCAGAAAAAGAAAGTAAAGACCCAAACAATAGATGGTATTTGCTCATAAGGACAAGCTTTCTGTACCTTTCCTAACCTATGAAACTTGTATTCCCCCTATGGCCCCAATCACAATCTCACATCGTTATATTATTTTATTTTTAATACAAAATATTTTGATACTAAATTTTGGGCCTCTACTTCTCTCTTAGACTTACACCTATAAAAGAAATACAAAAATAATTTTCTCAATAAAGAATGATCTTAAAAGTTTTAAAGGTATTTTGATTATTTTATTTTATCAAAATATTTTTTTTATATTTTTTAAAGTGTGTCCTACTGAGATGAAGACACGTACCAATTTTTATATTCATATAATTTGTAAAAAAAATTAAAAATAAAAACACTGAAACGTGGGACCTAGATTAAACAATCAATTGCTCATTTGACCAAAATTGGACGGCTAGATAAAGAAAAATATAGAAACCTTTCCCCATATAAAATAATGTATATGGTTTTTTTTCTCTCTTTTTTTTGGGCATGCTAGTTGGCAATGGCTACTCCGAAGTATAGAGGTTACTTATTACAAGGTAAAAAAGGCAATAAATAAAGAAAAATATTTATATAAAGTTGATACTTTAAATTATAGAATTAACTTCAAAACTCTATTGAAAAAGGTTATTTTGATATCATCTCATTGATCATCTCGACATTGAGATCTATGGAATAAAAAGTATCTTATGTCCCAAAATTAGTAGAACTTGCAACACATTATATGGACCGTTTATTTTCAAGATTTTTATGCATTTATATATCTATTTGATTTGAACTATTTTTTAAGTTTTAAATTTTATAATTAGAAATAAAAATAGATTTACTACGTATCCTAAAAATTTGGATGCCAAATTTGATCTTATGACAAAGTTTGGTGGTGCATCTCACTTTGATTGTTTGAAGTTGCAACCTTACGCAAACCTCACCCATAAATAAATATAATTAGTCCCAAAAATATCACTTAAAATTTTACTTCAAAAAAATGTTAAAGTGGTCAAATAAATTAAGTTTACCTCCTTAAACTTTTTATTTTCCATTGTTGTACATCTTGATGTTGAGATGATCAATAAAAAGGTTTTTCAACATTAAAACTATCTTTTCTAATGGAATTTTGAGGTGCACCGTAGAGGTGAGGTTGCAACCCTATATAAACTTTTTCCTATTACCATACGTACTCACCAAGAGTTTCCTGCAGCAAGCGTTGGAGGAAACCAAGATCTCCACACACAGAGAGAGAGAGGGAGAGAGAGGTGCCCAAATGCCTAATATGGATGCATAAAGACTAAGCAGAATAAAATTTTAATAGTTCTGCAAATGTTAACCAGAACATTCAACTAAGGAAGAGACTTGTCCTAAACAGGTACAAAATGCTGATTGCCATTACTCTCAGGCCCAAACCAAATCCGGAATAAGGGGCCAAGTGAATCACCTTCAACGCCAACCCCAACCCAAAGCCCATGTTACTGATGAGCCTTTAACTGGGTCCAGGAAACTGGAGTTGTGGAAGTGCTTTTTCCGCTGCACCACTAATATACAACTTTGAGATTCTTAGATAAGAGCTTATTACACCAGCTTTCATGATACATGTACACATTCGAAATTCCAGCAACCTAATCAAATATGACAATAATTTGGCAGGGGTTGCTCCTTCTCTCTACCTCAGAGAGAGAGAGAGAGTGAGTGTGTGTGTGTTAAGAGCTTGGTAGAAGTCTTCCATTGTACATCTTATCCAATAACTTGCGAGCATCAGGCCTCCGGAGAAGCCCCTTGTTGTTGGGCAGTCCAGTCCCAAGACAGACTGGACAAACAAGTTTGCCACGTCCTGGTAACCAACCAAAAAAACAGGAATTAGATGGAAGGAAACTGCCTAAAAGGTGCCATGCTTTATGACATACTTCCCACAGCTCCTTAATCTCATCAATAAAAGCATCAGCCATTTCACATAAATTATATAGAAACTCACATTCATTTGGCATTTATATATCAAATGGGGCATTCAGTGAAACTAGTTATGGGGAAATCAACTGGATTGCAGGTATCCTTCCCTCCTAATTGAGATCCAGGAAATAATAGATACAATAGTATCACTATGTGGTTGAAAAGAGAGAAGGAAAAAACTAGTGGGTTCTAGTAGAAATCAGTTTTGAACCCAACAAGTCAATGCAATATGGAATAGAAGAAAAGGTCCAAATATCCCTCTTCTTACGAATATTCCTCCTTTGTAAGTTTCCTGATTTCTCTTAGTAGCTTTAATTCAAGAGAAGTGTTCATGTACTGCTAACAAATAACCATTATGTGCCATATGATGCCATCCAAACCTCCCATAGAGTTGGCTATAATAGCTATGTAATTCATAGCCCATTCAAATTGGAAAGCCAAGGCCCACTTTAGATGTAGCCAAATATGACATGTTTTGGATAGCAATCAAATAAAAGTTTCTCACAGTTTGAAGGATGATCATGCCAAAACACTTGATATCTATACTGTAGGAGCTTGTCAATGGACCCAGCAGAAAAATTATTTAGATTCTAGTGAGCACGAGTCAGAATTCAATTGGACTATAAGAACTCATCAAGCAAGGCTTACAACAGAACCTATAATAATGCACCTCGGATGGGCCTAGATTTCCCAGGAGATCCTTTGTACCTAAGGGCTCAATTATGAACAAAAACAAAGGTGAGTATGCTAAGCCTAGAACACACACATTACAAAAATAGTGTGAAATGCTATGAAATCCACCAATATAAAACTCTAGAGATGGTCTAATGAGAACTGTGTGCTCATCACCTAGGTGGTTATCTAACTGAGCTTTTCAACCATTATACCAAAACATATTTATGTTTACAACTTTAAAAGAAGTTAAAAGGATTTTGGTCCCCAGATATGGGAATGTTGGGTTAGGGTTAGTTGACATGGCCCTAGGAAGTCTCTCGAAGGCCAGTCCCATGACAATTCCGTACTTGAAGAAAGAATATACATGTAAAAGCAAGAACGAACAAGTAGATGTGCAATTAGTAGAAAACTATGCAAAATGAACTAAACTAATGAGAGTGAAAAAATGCAGGCAAAAGCCTTACCGATTGGGAGAGCTTAGAATGCAACAGCAAATCATAAACTCGTGAACTAATATATATA